GAGAGAAAAACCACTCAGGTCCTTCTCCAACATTCATGGTGAAGTTCAGCCTAGCGGCAAAACCTCTCATCCACTTTCCAATCCATCCAGCAGGATGTTTTCCTTCTTCCTGACCCTCCAGAAAGTAAATCATATTGTCCAACGCTGCCGGGAGAGAACAAGAATCTGCCACAACCCTTTTCCACTCACCGTAAACCCATTTGGGCCGCCATCTTTGACATGGTAGATCCCGCTGCCGGCTTGGAATAAAAATGTGCCACTTTCCCGGTGATAATCGTAGGAGGCAATCCCAACGGTGCCAATGCGCTTCCTCTCCCGCAGCAACTCCTCCTCGCGCGAGTACATCCCGTAATCCAGGCTGGCCTGACGGGAGAGGACAGGAACAGAAGGAATGGCCTACCATTCCATCTTCTCAGTGTCTTCACCAGAGAGTATTTCCGGGCATTTTAGATAAGGGGATTATTCAGGGGTAGGTAACTGACCACAGGTCCCCACATCTGTTTTTCACAGCCTCCGAAGTCCCCATATTCAGCCAAAGAATGGCAGTTTTCAGCAATACTTTTTTAAAGGTTGCTTTTACTAAGTAATGCATGAAGACGCTAGTAGGCCCCCTACCGCTGTTTTGCCTTCATCTCAAACTACAAAGTAAAATTCTAGGTTTGCCCCCTCTTGTGATGCTCCTGCGTCCCCCTGTGGCCCCCAGAGGGCCCTGCCAATTAAAAGATAAAGTGACACCCCCACACATATCATTGCACGATTTCTTTGCTTCATTCGCAGGATGGCATGAAGGTTTCAGACGATGCTGTTTGTAACCCGGCCGTCTTTCGCCGTTTCTTCCATCCTTTTTGTTTCTAGAAACCATCTGCGAGAACTGTAGTATATTTTTGGATTCTTACTGCTGCAAACCTTCTATCGAGACGCATTCCCTCTTTATCTTGGAGACTGACAGGATGAGAGAAAACCCTGAATATTATTTAGCAAGATATGGCTGCAACCTCCCGCAGAGTTACAACAGAGTGCGATTCATCAGCAGCCCCAAAGAGCCTGCCTTTTCCAACCAGGGGCCCCTCGAGACCCTCTTCTGACAGCAGAGACCTGGCATCCCAATGACCCAGGGACATTCAGAATTTGGGGAAATGCAGCTCCTTGAATTAGGAGGGGGTGAGGTTGGAGAAAGGCAGGAATAAACAACAGAACGATGACCATAACAGATAAACCCAGGGCAAAAAGGTCAATCAGCAAAGATTCCTATGTCCTTCGCGACTTTCAAAACATGGGAATGAAGTATCTGCTGCTTTGGACGTGTTGCCTGCTCTAAAGTAGCCATCCTCTGCAAACCTATCAGCCCCACCAGGTAGCCCAGACCAGGACATCAACTCTGCAGTTTCATCCTCTTTTGTCTATGTAATGGTTGCTGCACGTCTCCATCAAGGTCATCTTCCTTCTTCTCTACACCAGTGTTTCTCAACCTTGACAACTTTAAGATGGGTGGACTTCAACTCCCAGAATTCCCCAGCCAGCCATCTTAATGAGATGACAACTTTAAGATGGGTGGACTTCAACTCCCAGAATTCCCCAGCCAGCCATCTTAATGAGATGACAACTTTAAGATGGGTGGACTTCAACTCCCAGAATTCCCCAGCCAGCCATCTTAATGAGATGACAACTTTAAGATGGGTGGACTTCAACTCCCAGAATTCCCCAGCCAGCCATCTTAATGAGATGACAACTTTAAGATGGGTGGACTTCAACTCCCAGAATTCCCCAGCCAGCCATCTTAATGAGATGAGATAAGAATTCTGGGAGTTGAAGTCCACCCATCTTAAAGTTGTTTTCTCAACCTTGACAACTTTAAGATGGGTGGACTTCAACTCCCAGAATTCCCCAGCCAGCCATCTTAATGAGATGAGATAAGAATTCTGGGAGTTGAAGTCCACCCATCTTAAAGTTGTCAAGGTTGAGAAACACTGCTCTA